AAAAAAAAGAACACCATTTCCATCAAAAGGCTTGCAATGTAAATTAATTCCTATAAAGTTTATGTATTTCCTCATTGTGTTCTGTAACACAAATAAATGATACAACCATATAGTGTCACGGACATAAGACTGCAGTGACAATGAGATGTCACTAGGCAAAGAGAGGCAGACATTTCTACTGGCAACAATCTCACTGATTCTTTAATGTCTATCAGTTTTCTCCCCATTAGAAAAATAGCCTCGGGACTGGAGCATACATGCATTCCAACCCCTACACAGGCAAGCACTCTAGCCAGGGAGCACTAGAGGGCTGTTCCCTGGGCCATCCTCACCCTTAGGAGGACCTATTACTTGACAGTCTATCCTCTCCCCTGCCCAGGAAGGGAGCAGGCTGTCAAAAGGAAGCCTTTTGGCTTTTAAATTGCCATACATGGAGCCAGATCAGCTGCACACAAGGTGATTTTAAGCTGGAGATGTGGGGAAATGGGGCAAAGGAAAGGCTTCTTGTGCCCAAGTCCCAGCTCCCCAACTTCTAAATCCCCACATGTGCTGCCAAGTTGGGTGGTATGGGCAGCATTTAAACTCCGAGGGGCTGGGAACTGAAGTGGGAAAAATTTCCCTGGCACTGGTTCTAGACCCCATAGGCTTTTAAATCCCTACATGTGCCACCCAGCTGGACATTGTGGGTGGCATTTAAAACCTGTACACTTGGAAGTTCAGTGGGAAGAGCTTCCCCGGCCCTGGTTCCTGGCCCCAAATGGGCAGTATGGGCAGTGATTTCAAAGGTGGGGGATGCCAGGAACCAGGCTTCTGGAGAGCCTCCCTGAGCCCACTTCTCTGTGCCCACATCTTTCCAACAGCATATGTACTACCCTGCTGACAGTCTGGGGAGCAGTGGGGAAAACCCACCCACCCACTCCTCAACACAGGACCCCCAGTCTGGGCAGTGGGTAGGGAGCAAAAATAAGCTGCTTCTCCAATCTAGTCCCAGGTGCTGTGGGCAGAGCACAGGGAGCAGTGGGGCAAACCTCTAGTCCCCAGATCTGGAGGAGTCTGGAGCAGCAAGCAATGTCAGTCATTTCCCCAGCTGGGTAGTCCCCAATCTGGGAGACAATGAGGAGCATTGTCCCATCCCTCCCCTCCCAGACTACTGCCAAGAGTGGGGAGTACAGGCTTTCATTCTTGTGAAAGAGTTTCTCTTGCAGAGGAGATCTTCCAGATTGACCCCTGGAAGTTATTTCTCCTAGAGGGAGCATGATTCCCCTGCTTGTATGCTAGTGGTTTCTCCTGGAAGAGCAGCAATTCTCCAGGGACAAACATATTGCCTGTATGTGGGCACTAACTGCTACTTCATTTCTCTTTTCCTGTTAGCTGCCATATCTTCCAATGATTCCTCCATCAGCATCTTTTCATTATTTTTCTCCTTTCCTCCCCCACCGCCATTTCTTCAAAATCAAAGAATATCATTTCTGAACATTAGAAAACTCCTGACCTACAAAATAAGACAATAAAATATATCTTTTCTTAGGTCACTAGTGTTTAAGGCAATTTGCTCAGTAGCCTCAACAAGTAGTTCCTGATGCTATAGTGATAAATTTTAGAAAGCAGAGCAGCTTAATGTAGAAAACATAGATTAGGTCATTAATCC